ACATACATTTTTTTCTCTTCATTTTTGTCTTTTCTCCTTGTCTATCAGTATTTTGCTAATATAATTAAGTTTGGTCCTTGTATAGATGTGTATCAGCATCCAGATATTTGTATTAGTTTCCCGATTTAGTAATGTAACCCTCTAAGGTGTTTAGACATAGGTTCTCATTCCAAAGGTCACTTCTTAAGTATATCCTACCCTCTGGGACAGTCACTTTAACAACTGGACATAATCCCCGTAGCTCTTCCCTTACCTGGTTGTACTTCCTTGCCTCCTTTCTGTACATTCCTTCACATACCTTCTGCTCCTCTGCTTTCCCACTCTCTTTTGTACCCTTTCACATTTTTTTCACTTCATATTCTATTTGCTCCTCCCAAAATACACTATTACTAGTAATCTGAATATAATGAATGTTTAATTCTCTCTAGCCTATATACTATATTTCCCTTCTTGGCCTTCCCTGGGTTAGTGAAGTAAAGATTTTTCTGCACAAGTGCTCAATTACCAGATGATATATGGCTATCGTCTCAACTTATATTACCTTATACCCCACAAAAACGCTTAAAACTCTTCTTCCTCCTTTCTGGGCCTAAAAATAGTATTATCAAAACCTATTTTTATTCTTTCCTACATTCTCTTTTGTTTCTTTGATTTTTCTTTCTTTTCATTTTTCCTTTTTTCCCCCCTTTTTCTAATGTCCAGCCTAGTCTTATCATTGCTATTCCTTCATATTCCTGGGCTATTGAAAGTGTTGCAAACAAATTCCCCCAAGTTTGATATTCTATGTGATTTATGATTAGCTGTTTGGATGCTGATATTATTAGTAGCTGTTCTGTCCCAGCAGCCCTCTCATAAGTTGGATTTGTTTGTAAGTCTGACAAAATGAGTTTTATATAGCTGTGGCACACATAGACAGTGTGAACATTAAACAAACCAACCACACAAAAATACCGAAAGTCCCCTACGTAGTTGAATACTGTACACTATCACACTGGACAGTGAGCTCACAACAGCACAGCTGTGATAATGTCTAGCAGACACATGAGTTACTCGTGTGATTTATTTCCACCTATGAGTGTTTATAGTGTGAAGTCCATATCTGTGAGAGTTTGCAACTCAAATGTTTGTAAGTCAGGGACTTATTGTATGATAGGCTGCAAGATTATCCTTCAAAATATATGGAGAAGTAAAGGCCTACAACAAAAACAAACTAAAAGATTCAGGACCACCAAGCCAGTATTCCAGAAAATACTTAAGGGAATCCTAAACTGAGGCAATGAGGTCAACATCACCCAAATTACTCAAAACCTCAAAAGAAAGAATAAATCTCATTGGGAGTGTAGTTAAAGCAAAGAAAATAAAATAAAAAGAAATAATCACTAGAAAAACAATACAATGCCAGGAAATAGTAAATACCTTTCAACAATAACTCTCAATGTAAATAGTCTTAACTCTCTAATCAAAGACACAGGCTGGCAAATTGGATTAAAAAGCATATTAGTGAACCATTTATCAGTAAGAAATAATTGTAAACATATGTGCACTGCATGTCAGTGCACCCACTTTCAAAATAAAAAGAAACCTATTTGACATGAAAAGACAGGTGGATAGCAATAGTAGGGTTGTTTATCTCACTCTCACAGATAAACAGGTCAGTTAGACAAAACAAAACAAACTCTACAGTGAAATCTCAAGAATTAAACCATCCCGTAGAACAAGCAGATTTAACAGCTATGTACAGAGTGTTTTAGCCAGCAACAACATAACATATATTCTTCTAAGCTTCCCACAGAAATATCTCCATGGTAAAATACATTTAAGGTGATAAAATGTCTCAATAAATACAGAAGAATTGAGTTAAGTTTTTGGATATTGTCAGATCATAGTGGAATAGAACTAGAAATCAACAATAGTAACAAATGCACTTTCAGATGATCAGTGTATCATTAAAGAAATCAGGGAAGAAATTTTAAAAATTCATTGACTCAAATGACACTGGAAATACAAAATATCAGAGTCTGTGGGACACTAAGAAGTTCTAAGAGGAAGGTTCATAGCTGTGTCTGCATTAGAAAAATAGAATGATCCCCAATAAATAACTTAATGATGTACCTCAAGGTCCTAGAAAAACAAGAATAGTCCAAACCAAAACCTAGTAAAAGGAAAGAAATGATAAAGGTCAGGGTGGAAATCAATTAAATTGAGACTAAACAATATAATCAATGAATCAAACAGTTGGTTCTATGAAAGGATAAATAAGGTAGATAAACCCTTAGGCAAACTTACCAAAAGAGAGGAAAAAATCTAGATGAAGGTAACTAGAAATGAAAAAGGTGAAGTGACAACGGATATCACTGAGAGTCAGAGGACTATAAGGAACTTACTGTGGTCAGAATGGCTATACCAAGAACACAGAAGCAACAAATACTGTTGAAAAATTCAAGGGAAAAAAGAATCTTGTATATTTTGGCAAGAATATAAAATAGTATGACCACTATGGAAATCAGTGGTTTTTCAAATAGAGATTCCTTAAAAAACTAAAGTGGGAATTCCATTTGACCCAACTATATCTCTCCTGGGCCTATTCCTGAAAGAGTTAAAGTCATCACGCTATAGGTGATACACACATACCCAAGTTTGAAGCAGCACAATGTACAATAGTTAAACTCTGAAAACAGTCTAGATGCCTTAAAGAGACAAGTGGATAAAGAGAATGTGGTGTAGACACACAGTGGAAATTTATTTATCCATAAAGAAGAATGAATTCATGTCTTCTGGAGGAAAATTAATGGATCATAAACCCATAATGCTAAGTGAAATAAGTCAGATATAGAAAGTTAAACATCATATGGTTTTTTTCCTGTATTAGAAACACAGAATATCAATAGTAACAGAGTATAATAAAGGAGAGATAGCAGGAAAGAAGAAGGCAAGCTTCCTGGAGAGGGAAAGGGGGACCAGGGATGGGAGGAAAAAGAAGGCAGGTCACAGGGAAAGTTAATTGAAAATGACCAAGGTATGACATGTACCATTAGCCAAAAGGAATGTAAGAATTATATATAAAAACATATAGCAATAAAAATGTGAAGCTTCCTTTTCCCACAGCTGGCTGTGTTAAGAAGCATTTGGTTATGGTCTCCAGTTGCATCAATTTTCCTATAAAAGCCTTGAGTTTACCTTTTTTTTTTTTTTTTGGTTTTTCTCCGGTATCGGGAACCGAACTCACGACCTTGCGCTTGCCAGGCAGGCGCTTTTGCCGCTGAGCTAAATCCCCAGCCCCGAGTTTACCTTTTTGTAATAGCTGAGTAATACTCCTTTGTATAGAAATACCACAGCTTTTTTATTCATTCCTCAGTTGATGGGCATTTGGGATGGGAAAGAAGAAAAAGAAAGTACTAAGGCATTTTATATATTATGGATTGGTGACATAACTGTACTGCTGGTGTCTTATGGTTTGTTGAGGGGAACAGTTAATGTTTAAAAGTTTTTTTTCCAATATTTTCACCAATTTTTCATGTTTGTATCTGGTAATCTGAGCAACTTATGTGACGACAACAATTTGCAGTGTAATATCCATTGGTGAATTCCTACAGTCCTGCCTAGTGACACTATGTGTTGTCTCTAATGTCCTTTTAAATTATTATTTTCTTATTCTCTTTAATGATTTCATCAATCCTCTGTTCTTACATCTGCTAGTCTGAGCAACTTCGCTGAAGATAACAATGTGCAATATAACAATCACTGTTAATCTCTATCACTTGGTTTGAAACCCTGTATCTTTTTTAAGGTTCTTGCTTTGTGTTGCTTGTATTTTGCTATTGTTCTTTTTTTTGTACTATTTTCTTTAAAATAATAAAAAAAGGAAGCACATGGTGAAGAGAGAGGGGTGCTTCTGTATCACTCTGGGGTTGAGGAATGCCAAACACCATGTGGAAAGCAGGTGAATGGGTGCAAACACATAGTGTCGTAGATTTACTAAGTAGAATAGTGAACGGCGAAACAGTACGGGCTGGGACTGGGCAACTGTGAAATGTTTTCTATGAAACAATTTTTTGAAAGGCCGAAGGATAGCTAATTAGAGTCACAGGTTTTGTGACATTATGGCTAGCAGTGAAACCAAATCCCCTGGAGAGTTCATAAACGTATTTCCCCCTAAGGCTTAATTAATAAAAGTTTAGATCTTGTTCTGTTTAATTAGGCACTACCGACATGATGCATTAATTACATATTCTTGTTTTTAAAAATTTTGCCAAAGTAATTACTAATTAAGTATAAAATTTGTGCAAATTATATTTTCAGAAATGATTTGATTTATAACTTTGGCGCTATTTCAAAATATCTTACCAGTGGGTCTTCGTAGATGATGATTTGTCCCTGGCCTTTTTTTAGCAGTTTTTACAATCTGATAAACCAGGCAGTTAATTTAAATTAATTGCTAAAAATATTTGGATTTTGAAGACAAATAGCTATAATTTCACGAAATTTTCTTGTGATCCAAACCCTAAAGAAAAAATAGGATCTATATTAGAGATAAATTCAATGAAATGGGCTTTGTATTTCAGTCCACAACTATGTGATACTAGTCATAGTCATGTGTAATTAGTCATACTCACTAAACTTGATTAATCTTTTTAAAATAAGGAAAGTCAAAAATTGATTTCAATACTGTTACTTTGCTTACCTATGTAAACACACTATTTTTCTAGCATAGTTAGTGATTAATTCCTAGGTAATGTATGTTTCATAGTTTAGAAATCTCCACTGGAACATAATATGCAGTTAAAGATAAAAGTTTACAGACTAGGCCCAGAAGAGTTTGATATATAACCCTTGACACAAACCAGATTCAGATTTCTATCAGACGGGCACAAACCGTTTTTGCATGTTTCAAAAGCTAGCCACAGTCTTAGATTACTGTTATGCCGATGTACTTTACTCAGAAGTTCTGTTTGTTTACATGTTATGTTGGCAGGTTGCTTCAGAGATGGGCAACATTATGAAGAAGGATCAGTGATTAAAGAAAACTGCAACTCCTGGTAATGAACATAAGTGACAGAATTGAATTCAACTGCTGTTCATGTTTTTCTTAAATAAAGGCAATACCAGTGAAATAAAGTATATATTTAAACACATGCAGACAGAACCATATAAGACACCACAAACCTGTCAGTTTTTATAAGTGTAAAGAAAGGGTGCTAGAAAATGATCATGCATACATCTTTTAAAGCTTCAACTTGATGTTTTGATATTGACCTTCAATATACTGCAGCCCTGCATTAAGTACACATCTTACTTTTAAACATTTTGATACACTACAGGCAAGTCATGTGGGTTTGTAAATTTTTTTGGCATAATACTGTACATAAGAGCAAGCTGCTTTACCAGCATCAGCTTATAGATAGTGCTCAAATACATTGAGCTACTGTCTCAATTGTCCTTTTTTTAAAAAATTTCAAAGGATATGTAGTTGCATCATTTACTAATCGCCTGAAGCAGAGGACAAGGGCACACGAATGACAGCTAGTGCATGTTTTATGATATACTTTCACTATGAATCAAACACCCGTATGGTTTACATTAATCAAGAAATCATGTTTTATCACTTAATGATGTGCAACTCTTGTTACTAAGGTTGAAACGTAGCCTGAAGAAGAGCAGGCTACTCTGATAATTTTTATATCTTTGCAGCACATGCTCAGCACAGCAGTGGAAATGTTCCCAGCAGGCATGCCTCGTTCGTCCAGAATTAATTGAACACATCAACAAAGGAGACTATGGGTGAGTGAAACCCTGCGGTAGAGGCTCCTGGCACACCAGTTACTCCTCTGCCACTTACTCCTGTCGGTACTTAGAGAAAGGGGAAGAAGCAGGAAGGGAGATAAAAAGGTGTGTAAACATGGGCCATGCAAGGTAAGCATAAAATAATTAAAAATTACAATTCACGAATAAAAAAAGAGATGTAGAGCCTAGCCTTAAATCATTAAGAAAGATCAGCGTCGTGGGCGGGTGAGGAGGGTGGTGGGAGCTCTGCACGGAAGCAGGCCGTGGGCAAAGCTGGTTTAGTCACGTGGTGGAGCCCGTCATGCACTCAGTTCTCCCGCGCAGAGTCAGTCTCACGCAACAAGTCAGTCCAGACGATGTCACTGAAATGGCTGATATTTAGACAATTTCACTTACAGCTGGGCCAAAAGCTAGGTTGAGCCACTCTCCTAGTAATAGAAGGATAGGGCTCCTTGAGACGTTTAAACCAGCAATAACTGTTTGCTGCTGTCCTGTACATTAGTGAAGTGGGTGGCGTCTCTACTTACACAGGGGATTAAGGTGTGGGTACCAACACTTGCTTTCTCCAAGGATCTGAAAGAAAGAGGCGGGCTGGCTAATTCCTGCCTGGGAATTTCTGCACTGCCATTTATCAGATCTCTGTCTACCTTGACAACATCTTCTAGACTGGGAAAAAACTTCATATAGAGATTTATTGTCAAGCAACTGAAAAAGTGAAATAATCCTGAGATGTATTTTTCAAATAGAAGTGTCATTTCCTTCCGCACATAAGACATTACAGTTCCCAGGAAAATGGGGATGCTGAATTTCAGTGTATTGAAGGTATTTTCTTGGAGGACACAAAATAGAGAAAGTCACATTTGTTGAGAATAGTTTGAGGTCATTCTAACCCCCTCGTGTATGCATTTAACCAATATTTTAGGGGGCGATTTGATTACATTTATGTATTTGTAGGAAAAAAAATAATTGTAAACTTCTGAGGCTAAGTGATTTTTTTAATCATTCAAAGAATATGAATCTTGAAAAATGAACCAAGTCAAGCTTCTATAAAGATATAATGCTAAGCCTAATTAATGCTCACGTTCAAGAAACCATAATAGACTGGCTTGGTTTTCCCTGTTACAAAACATATGTGATACTGTGGTTTTTTTTATTTTTTATTATTTTTTTTTTTTTTTGGTTTTTCTCCGGTACCAGGAACCGAACTCACGACCTTGCGCTTGCCAGGCAGGCGCTTTTGCCGCTGAGCTAAATCCCCAGCCCGATACTGTGGTTTAAGACCTGTGGAGGAAGGGACCTTTCTCGGGGTACGGAAGTTGTTGGGGACCCTTGGAAAGAAGGGTTTCTTGCCATTAATCATTTATCTTGAGGAAGCTGTACAGTGTCTAGGAGGCATGGGCTTCGTGTTTTCATGGCAATTATTAAAGGATTTCATGACCTTACAAGAATGACAAATGGAAGTATATACAAAAGAAAACATACATAGATCGGGTATAAAAAGTTAAAAGGAACAAGCTGTGAAGAAAAGGAACAAAAGCAAAATTATTTACCAGGGAACAAAAGGGAGAAAGCCTTGCTTTAAAAAAAAAAAACAAAAAACTTTTACTTTTCTGTTATTGTCTACTCATGATGCTCAAACACTTTTCACACTGTATCACTCAACATGTATTAAATACTTTTTAAATAGCTTATATATGAACATACACTGTTTTCAATGTTCTCCACATCTTGATAGTATTTTAGACTCGAGTCTGTTCTGCATAATGTACTTACATGCTTATTTGTTCCTTGTATTGTTTTTCAAGGCAATTGATCAATACATAAGAAGTGTGATCCACTTATTGCACTGCTGAGGACTCAGATCACTTCTGTCTTGCAGGCGTTTATCATGTGTCTGAGGGGCCAACATGTCACGTCCTTGTAAAAGGATTGCTAATGATAGCGCAGAGCAGATGGTCAAATTCGTGGCATTAGTAATAGTCAGTAATTTAATGGACTAAAAGGAGACTGAAAATTATTTCTTTTAACTGCTGCTGTGTAACAAACCACTCCAGAATTTAGTTTTTTAAGGCATAAGCTTTTCATGTGCTCCTGTTAGCAGCTGGGGACAGACTCAGCGGGGGCTCTTGCTGGCCTCCTCCGGGGTTGCTCCTGAGTCCAGACCTCGGCAGCCTGGGCTGAGGCTGGTGTCTCTGAGATTCCTGCAGGTTGGGGCTGGGTGCCGGCCCTCGGCAGCCCCTCCCAGGGTGTTTGGGTAGGACAGCGCTCTAACAGGCACATGTGTGGCTGGGCAAGGGGGTCTTGTGCCCGAGTCTGACAGTTGCGCAGTATGGTCCTATCACTTTCCTTGGGGCAAAGCAAGTTACTACGAGTGTCAGTCTACAGTTGGAGATTGGGGAGACAGATTCAATCTCTCGCTGGAAAGAGATGCCAATAATTTGTGGCCATTTTTAGTTTGTCACATTTCTAATCATGATTTTTCTTATGAACGCAAAATGTAGCTTGTGAGTAAATTGGCTTTAATTTCTCACTGGGTTTTCAAAATAGGTGTGTCCGAAGTTTCAGGGCACACCAATATCTATCCTTGGTTTCTGGCATCTGCTTCCCCCTCCACCAAGCCAGAAAATTTGCAGTTAGTTTTACTCTTTGCTTCTTTTACTCAGTCTCTACGCCTTGCTAGTTCTTGCACTCAGAACCTCCCTTAGCTCTTTACTTCCTCGGTGCCTGGGTTCTAGCCTAGTGCATTTCCTCTGCAAGTCTAGTTTGAAATGACCCGGTGTGTTTCTCTGTCCCGTGTGGTTGTCGTTCTGAGACAAAGCTTTGTTTCTGCCATGTATGTTCTTAAGAACCTTCCTTCCATTGCTCCTGAAACATAATTATTTTCCTTAGCATACATGACTATCTGGCACAAATATTTTCTCTTTTCACTTCGTTTTTACATTCTTGTCAGAATCTGTGTTCCTATATCTTCCTAACTGAAGCACTTCACTTAACCTGCTGTTCCCTACATGTGCCTAATTCTAAGCCTGCATGCTTTGTTCTAGTTGCCTTTGTTTAGAATAAATGGCATCTTTTTCACATTTGGCCACCAAGCTCATGCTTTTTCTTTCAGACTAAGTGTCATACTCATTTTCTGTAAAAATACGCCAATTCTTTGAGGCGCAGTTATGTTTGAATTCTCTGCTCTGATCATACTTTGACCTCTTATAATAAAGGTCACATACTACAGTAATTTTTTCTTTGTAGTTTTTGTTAGGGTATGAACACCTTGAGGGTAGAGAAATTTATTTGTTTCTGTATCCCAATGCTCACTAGAGACTGTGATAGATAAGAAAGATCAATAAATGCCATATTGGATTAAAAGAAAATGCTGAGCCTAGGCCTTAGAGGACGGTGTGAGTTAATAGTGACTTCTATACTTTCTGGACATAAATTTCAGCAAGACAGCGTCTGACTTTGGTATCTATGCAGTGTGATACAATATGTGTTTAAGTAAAATAAAATTTGTTAGGCTGAATGTCACATTGCCCTTAATCCCCTTCAAAATATCCCCCCCTCTCGTTTTGAACACACGGATCCCATCAATCTTGCTATTTCTGAAGCAGTTCTTCTTCCGTGAATGTCTTTGTTTTGATGTCTTGAGTCAGTTCAGAAAGTTTCCTGTCACGGTTTTGACTCTGAGGAAGAGGCAGAATTTGTACCATGCCGGTTCAGTAACGTGAGGTGGGTGAGGACACCCACTGTTTCTATGAACCTGCCATTTCATCGGATGGCATTTGGCACCAGCATTCACCCAATTTTTATTTCTCCTTGTAAAGACATGTACAAAAAAAGACCTCCAGAACTGCTCTAAAAAGTAGCAAGAGTCATGCGATAAATGTACTTGAAACAGAAGACTTTAAAGGGGATTAATGCAACATGTTTTGCTGTAATAATATTTTTTTCAAAAGAAATGCAACTTTCACCATATTTTTGATCTCTTTTTGCACTATACACATGTGTTTAGTGCATAAAAATGGTACTATTCTTACCGTTTCCAATAAACTCTAATAATTCCCATTATTTCTCTTATGTTCTATTTGTTGAAAATGTTTGTTCCTGCTCCTTAAATTGAGTGCTTAATTAAATGACCCATGGACGTCTCTGCTGATGTTTGCAAAGTATAAGCATTAGGCATCAGAAACAAACTTTACTGATCTCATAATTTTTCCCAAACTGGATCCTATTAGTCTCTCAAGTAATACTACAATAGCTAATGTACTTGGAATGTTCTCATTGAAATTCTTTGGGAGATGGAGATTGCACTTTGAAATTGCAGCTGAGAGTTGTTTAAGAATTTATGAAAGGAAAGCACTGACTCACCATGCATATTACTGAAAATTGAGTTGTATTCCTAGTCATTCATAAAAGCCTATCACACCGGAAATAAGTTTGGAGATAAACACGACAGCATAAAACTTACATTTGATTTAGGTACTGAATATATATTGCCTTCAAGTTGTAGAGAATCTAAATGAGCAGTGATTATATTACTTTCTTCTTTCTCATTTTTCATCTATTCTCATCTGTTAAAGAAATTCTATCTTCATTTCAATATTGAATTTTGAAAACAGTATGTTTATGTAAATAAGAGTAGAAAATGTAGCTAGAAAAGTGTGCTCTTTTGTTACTTAACTTCACACAACTGACTATATTATTATTAATAACTCATATTCTTAAGCACTTAACACACATTTTTTTCATTTAATACAAGATAAACTATCTCAATACCTAGGGGCTGGGGATTTAGCTCAGCGGCACAGCGCCTGCCTGGCAAGCGCTAGGTGAGAGTTTGATTCCCGGTACTGGAAAATAACCAAAAAAAACAAAAACAAAACAAAACAAAAAAAACCAAATCAATATCTAACTATCACTAATTTAACTTTGAAGTGTAATTATTTTGTTTTCAGTATTTCCAAGGCATTTCTTTTCACTTTTTTACTTTTTCAAATCTAAAATATAAAGAAAAAAATGGCATCATTAATCTGAAAATAGATTTTTGTATATTCAAGGTTCTTTCTAAAATGTGCTTAGGAACATCTAAAGACACTGTATATGCTGGCATTATTATCACTTAGTTCCTGCATAATATGTGAAGAGTCCGTGTTCTTGGTTTCAGCCTATACCGCCATGGTCTTAGATGTTTCATCCGAGTTTTTAAAATGGAGTAAATTTAGGGACAAATGCCTTACATGTTGATACTACAATAAGCAAAACGCACCATTTACACCAAGACTTGCAATAGTTCTTACATTGTTGTGAGATCTGCCACTGTACAACTATAGAAATGTACACCAGCGTGTGTTTGTGAGGATGGTACACGTAACCTTTGTCTCTTCCTCTTTCATGTGTAAGGCAGATGGACAGCACAGAACTACAGTCAGTTCTGGGGAATGACTCTTGAGGAAGGCTTCACATTCCGCCTGGGCACCCTGCCGCCGAGCCCTGCGCTCCTTGGCATGAGTGAAGTGACGGTAGGTCCTCCTCCTGACTCAGTGTGTGCATGTGTTTGTGTAAGTGTGTGCAAGTGTGCTGAAATAACTAGCATCATGAGTTTTGAGCTTGTGGGGTCTTGAAAATTTAAAATTTTTGTCATATAATCATGAAATTCCTTTAACAAAAAGGTTACTAGTAGGCCCCTCAAAGGCTTCACGTGGACTTTGAATGTTCACTACTTTCAATTAGATATAGTGTCATTTTTTAATTTAATTATTTATTTTAAAGAGAAAAGAACAAAACAACACAAAAACTATAAAATTGATACAGAATTTCAAAACAAGATGAGGAACTCAACAGTGGTTGTTGTATTACTTACTGTTATCTTCATATTGTCTTTTAAAGAATGACTGAATGTTCCTTTCTTGTGGCAAGGATTTCAGAGTAATACATATTTCTGATGATTGGTTACAGATTATGCCAATATTTCAGCAAATTTAGTCTTTATTTTTATTTTTTAACTAAACATACTTACTTTGTGGATTCATGAAAGTGTTTTGATGTCTCTCAGACTATCCATTATCACATAAGATTGAAATAAATGCTGGCAATTTCAGACATGCATGCTATGATGATTAAAGAAAAGTTTGTTCTTTTTTTTGTTTTTTTTTTGGTTTTTCTCCGGTACTGGGAACCGAACTCACGACCTTGCGCTTGCCAGGCAAGTGCTTTGCTGCTGAGCTAAATCCCCAGCCCCTAAGAAAAGTTTGTTCTTAAAAATCCTCACAATTTCCATTCAGAGAATGCCTTCAGATTTTGCCGGGTGACATGGCAGACCACTGTGAAATGACCTCAAGCTTCGTCATGCTCTTGTGGTTTGCACTATTATATTGGTTTTCTCTTTCATTTGTTAAAAGTTACTATCAGCTCCTAGTTCTGCAGTAACCACAGAACTCTGAACCACACAGCTGCAGTTTCCTACCAGATGTGAGGGGTGCTTCCCAGGCAATGCACTTGGTTTGTGTGGAGAAGCTGGCTATATTCAAAGCTTGTTGCTGCTTTCAGACACAGGTGGCTCCCCGGCTGCCAGAGGGCAGGCTCTCTAGTCTGCCGTGCAGACATCAGACGCTGTTAGCATGTCAGGGCAGCCAGGTTGTTGCTTGCTCTTGGATGAATGGTAAATCTATTGGTGTTTCATTAAGATTTAACCTGAGTTTAGCTTTCCCAAAACGTAACCCCTTGAGTTAATATATCCATTCAAATTCTAGTAGTAGGGCCTGCTAAATTATAACTAGTATCAGAGAAGATTAGAACAACTGGCATTTATTTAGCAGCTGAGTGTTAAGCACATAAGTGCTTTTGCTGTGAAGTATCTCATTGAAATCCCACAGCAGCTTGGTGTGCTGCATCCCATCATTACCTAGATTTTAAGGAAAGTAAATTATGATTGTGTGAGATTAAGTCACACCGAGATTGAAAGAGGTTAAGAGCCAGCGTAGAGTTGATTAAATTACAGAACTAGTACACCTCTAAAGGTTTGTGTTCCAAAAGTCTTTAGAATTTCAGGAGAGTCTGTTGGCTTTGTCCAATTTAGATTCAAAGTCAAAAGAAGTTTAACCTTTTATCCAGGGCTAATTTTCTAAAATGATCAGTTTAGAGGTTTTGAGGTGTTTCCTACAATCAGTAACATAAAATCTTCACAGAGGAGACTAAGATTCCTGGTTTTTGATGAGCTAACTGCATGAGTCAAGGAGTCCTTTCTTTCCCTGCTTTTTTTCTTTTTGTCTACAGCTGGGTACAGAGGGGAAGAGGAAGCACTGTTTAAGAAAATACTTGATCTGTGTAAGGATTGGCTTTTCACTTTCTTTTGCTGAGAGGCACAGCGAGCTAAACACTTATTTGGATGTTTGCACGCAGTTCCTCAGGATTACTTCTAACATCTCTTTTCTAAACTTTAATTTTAACAGTTTAAGATGATTTACATTCTGGAGAAAAGAAGGCACATTGCTTTCTCTTGTTGGCACTCACCTTAGCACACAAAGAAAATCTAATTCTAAATCACTTATTGGTTCCTGGAGATTTCTTTCCATAAATGTCTTTGCTGTAATATTTAAATGAAAATTCCTAATGATTAGTATGTTACCAATTATTAAGATAATTTAAGTTTAAACTGCCTACAGGTATGAATTAGTGTAATTCAATTGCCAAGTAATTTTAAGAAAGCAATAAGGAAAATTCGGCAGGACTGTGAGAGTTCCACGGCCCACTTATGATGTAAGGCAAGGAACTAGCTTCTTACTTCTGGGGAACAGGTGTTTGAGGACTAAGTTTCTGAGTGTTAGAACTGTCTTAAGAGCTTCCCCCCAAAAAAGAGAAAATCTGAATTATAACAAGTACTTCTAGGAAAAGCACAAGGTTAGTCTGAACTGCATTTATCGGCAACCAAGAAAGAGCTACACAATGATTCTTACCCTGGTGGCTACACACAAAATATCCAGTTTCTATCAACCTTCCTCCACGGACAGGGAAAATGATTTTTTCCCTGTGGTTTTGCTTCTGGGCAACTGATATTTCCCTCTCTCTTTTCCACTTTAAAACAGTCAGGAGAGGATGGACTGAAAGTGCAGTAGGGGTGAGCTCTTGCCAAGAGTGGTGTGACTTACAGCGTGCTGGAAAGCTCCGTGGCCCGCTAAACCCAGCCTCTCCCTTTTCTGGCCTGGATGAGAATTAAGGGACCCTTTGGGTGTGAAAAATGAGAAATGAATCATCCCTGATACTTGGAAACTGCTCTGCTTGCCCCGTTGATTTCCCGGACACATTGCCTAGCTTAAGTCACCATTGCCATAAAGTGCTTACTGAGCCAATCAGAGAGCTCTCAGTAGGTGTTGTGCAAAGATTTCCGTGATCATATGAGTGTGAAGATGCTGCTTAACTTAGACGGTTTAGTTCAGTCCAAACACACTCTGACAGAGTGTGATCAGTAACCGTTAGGAGCAGAAATATGTGGGTAGAGAGAAAAGTATTTTAGGGATTTAGGGGAGGCCCTTCCTGGGTGGTAACCCAAGGTGAAGACAGACTGAAGGAAATCTAAACATATGCGGGTACAAGCGGACTGGGTGAGGGAGTTAAAAGAAAGGAGAGAAAGAAGGCTGAGAATGGCCTGCTGCTCTCTGGCGAAAAATTGAGAAGAGTGTCCCGTCTGGGGGAGCACAGCCGAGGACAGAAGACCGGGCAACCAGAAGGTCCCTGTTGGTCACCTGGGAACTGCCCCCTCCAGCAGAGACGGTGCTGGGCCAAAGCAAGGAGCTCCGCAAGGACAGGAGGACGCCAGCCTCCCCGCGAACACCTGGCGAGGTCCGGCTTGCAGAGCCCTGAATGTCCCATCGGTGGATAGAGAATCATGGAATGGTGGATCATATTTTCCTTCTGGATACCCGGAAATCCATTAGTGTATTGGATATACTGAGAATTTTTATTCCATTAGCTTTATTTCTCCAGTATTTCCTAGGTTTATAAGATTAGAGAACTTTTTTATTTGTTGATAATGATTGGTAATATCCCCTAGGACTCTGATTCCACAGTTCACACTGTAAGCAATACTGACTTCAGCATAAAATATTGAAGTGGGAGTTGAAGGAGGAAGTCTATTTTTTTTTTTTTTTTTGGTTTTTCTCCGGTACCGGGAACCGAACTCACGACCTTGCGCTTGCCAGGCAGGCGCTTTTGCCGCTGAGCTAAATCCCCAGCCCCAGGAGGAAGTCTATTTTGAAGAAAAATAGAATTCTTTCAGTGTTTCAGATAAAATGGAAGTAAGGATTTTTTACAATTATATGCGACGCTCTCCTCAACTGAGGTCATTTTTTAAAAAGAGAATAAAATACAGTAAAAATGATACAGAATTTTAAAACAAGATGATAGGGAAGTAACAGTGATCACTCGATGGCATTGTTATCTTCGTAGTGGTTGCTCGGATTACCAGGTACAGGCGTGAAAAGCTGATCAGACAATATAAGCACTAACTGTTCCTTTCAATGTACTAACAGGAATTAGAAGTACAATTATCTTGGCTATCAGCCGAAGCATCACAGTTGAACTCAGTTTTGAAAGGTGTGCATGTAATGGTGATGTAACTCAGTAGCACACTTGCCAGAGAGTGTGAGGAAAGTAAGGAGTGTGTGTTCAGTGTGCCCCCGGAGTCGGGGCTGGGGTTTCTTGCCTTGTTCCCTCCTCTGTATCGCAGGGATTGTGGTGAAGCCTAACTCTCAGGCCAGCAGGAATCCCAGGAAATGTTCATTGGGCCATTCTTTGCATAGCGCTCAGGCATTAAGAAATGTTATATGATATACTAAGTGGACTTTTATTTCTTGTACTAACCTTGGGAGAATGGTAGAGGTCTGAAACAGGTAAATTCTACAAGATCTTACTGATTGAAATCTTCATCAGTTGGTACATTTTATTTTATACAGAAAAGTGTACTTTTTGATTCATGGGCCCTCACAGAATTTGAATATTTCTGGTAAACCGGAAAGTTCTATTATTATGCCCTCAAGTCAAATCAAATCAACAATATACCTGATTGTACAGACATACGAGTGCTTTTTAACTTAGGAGATAGCTCCAAGTGCTGCCTTATAGTCTATTATAATATTGAAAACATTTTGGATGAAAACTACTATTTTCACATAGAAATTAAGAATTTATTTTTATACTTAGTTCAGATAAAATTTGTTTTTTAGAAATGAGTTTTTTGTTGTGGTTGATTCCTTAGGGAGAATAATTAGGTATTTTATCTAAAGTGTAACTATTTGCAAGCTATTAAAATATTCAAAAGAGTGATATAATATTTAAAACATGTATACCTACTATATTAGATGGCATCATATTCATGCAAGTAGAAAGCTTCTAAAATATTTTGGTTCGAGATTATAGTTAACATCTTTTTTCAATCAATTTAGTTGACACAACTAACAAAATGTCAAGATTTTTCTATGGTTTGTTGGAAGTAAAGTAAAATAACATTTTATGTACTATACTTTGG